TATTTTTGTTGCTCGTTTTTATTTTACTATACGAGATTAGACCAATCCCTGAGGCGGCCTCCATACTTTGCCAGCGTCCACTGGCGACCACCACGGACCATAAGCATTTTGAGCGTCCGTTAGCGCGAGCGATTAGGAAAGTACAGATATCGATCTTGCGAACGGCCTACCAGCATGCGCCAGCGACCATCAGCGTCTCGGGGTCTAGGAAAGTATGAATATCGATCTAGCGTCTACCAGCATCACAGCGTTTACGCGTCCGTCAGCGACCAGGATACGGTATTGTGTAGTGATACGGTGCGGTTGCACACGCCGCAATTTCACGACGCTTAATCCAGCTGTCTCCTACTTCCCCACTCTAACGGCAGTCTGGTGCCCTATTGACCTACACTCTCTACTCCTGGTCGCTAGGACGCTGCTAGACGCCACAACGATATCGTCCCTTGAGACGCTGATGGTAGCTGTTGGACGCTACTGGAGGCTCTCGCAAAGTATGAACGCAGCCTGAGAGATGAGAGGGTTGCATGCCCTGGGCGGTTCCTGAAATACACCCACGTTCCGGCCGAATCCCTGACCGCGAGTGTATTAACCGACGTCACTACGCACGAGTCCTCCCTTCGATATTACCTGGGCTACTCAATCGAGGTCGGCCGCAGGGATAGAATTGAGAAGCAAGTTGAATAAAGCCAATATTTTCCCTCAGGTAGTGTACAGCCGTGCAAAACCCGTTAGAGAGGGATCGTTTTTAATCTCTGGAGGAGAGGAGTCGTTTTGCTCGAGGGAGAGAACTTTCCAATTGTTGATTTTAGCTACTTCACTCGCGCTGTATCATCGTACTTGAAGGTTCTTTCAAAGGAACTAGTTTTGTTAGTTGACTAGAGGCATCTACTCCCTGCTAAACTTCCGAATTCGGTAGAAAGCTTGCAAAATGGTGGGTGAGATTTTAAAGAGATTTCTAGCAGTGGAGTAAATACTGCTATTTCACCCACTCCATTGCGGTGCTTAGCCTTCAAAAAAATGGAAACAATTTGTGACCGAAATTTCAAGGAAACCTGCTCAGCGTAGAATTGTGTCCGTTTGGAAGGATCGGTGCAGTTGGGATCTGAGTAAACGTGCTTTGCAGCGTTTCGCACAAGTTCTGGTTGAAACGCGAACGCTCGTTCAACACAGTCGTGAAATTCGTCCCGATTCAATTCTGGCTGCTCGGCTTTGTCAAAGTAGTTTCCCAAATTGTAGATGTTCCAGAAGTTGCCTGGAAATTGACATAACTTTCATCGAGCTGCTCTCAATATCTGTCTCATATACAGTGCACTTCAAAACTGGAGTAATATTCATTTGGGATTAAAAATAAACAGAAAAATGCTACCTTCGTCATGGTTGATGCCAAACATCAAATTCACATGATGTGCATAGTTGCCCTCTCGTAATGAGATAAAACCATCCTTATATCGGAAGAAGTTTTTGTCCCTGAAAATAAATAATAACCAATAAAATAACTGCTATAGAGAAACCATTGTATCGAAGGAAGGTCGGTGGCAGCTGGTCAAGGTTTGCGCGTTACAGGGAAAAGTTATTCGTACGATCTAGAGGGAAATGTGGTCAATTCAGAAAGACTCAGGAAAGGGGCTGCAAATCTGTATTGCCGCTTAAGACATAGTCAACGTTTATCGAATGGGCGGATATAGTCCACCGATATGCTATTCTAGCTGCGTCTCCATAAGACGGTTGTGAGTAGGGGAGAAATGGGGATGGTCCAGAGTTGTCCATTGGCTCCCCTGTAATCAGGGCCAACTTTAACTGATTTGGTGACCGCTATGCGACTCCCGGTACGTACAGTCTTGTTCGCTGCGGATGATGGGACGTGTCGCTGAGGCTGGATTTGCCGTTCGCCAGCCCTTTTTTCACCAGTTATTGAAGCTACAACGACTGGTGGAAAACGACTGTTACGGAGGATATGATGATCTTATCGCTTCGAAAAAGAAGAAAACAAAACGGGCTGGCACAGCGCTAAACCCGTACGCCTTGACACCTTCCATCATCCGCAGCGAACAGGAGCGTAGCATGGTGCACTCGCGTTTTGGTGCATTACCTCCAGTACCAATACACTTCACTGAAAGCTTACCTAGACACAGTGACGAATGGGAACTCGAGAAAATTCAGGTTCAAGTTCCAGATGTTATCGACAAGCAGTTGCGCCGGAGTCGCTCGAAGACAGGCAATTGTGTCTTTCATCTGAAAAGCATAGATGATGGTGCCTTGGAAGATGGGATTGATTATCGAGGATTGAAATATGATTTTAAGCTTAGCTTATTCGTTGAAGAAAAACGCCTTAGAGATAGATGAAGTTCGCTGTTAAGTTTTGAATTCACTGCGCCTAATCATGACCAAACCCGCTTGTTCGTGTTCTCTCACTTCTGGATGGCCTCTACTTCTTACTGCTAATTCCGGTACGGACGCAGTTGCTGCATATTGAGGATAGCACGTGCTGATTCGGTAAAGGCACCCGGGTGTCACCACTCCTCCAGTCTCGTTCTCGTGCCCTTTGGTGCGGAGAAGATGGCGCTCTGCTGCAGCTATGAATTCACCTCCCACAAGGCAAGGACCGTCCCTGGAGTTTCAGTACTAATTTCTATCAGCTCCGGGACGATGAGCAGACGTGGTCGTTCAGCCCGGCCCTGCGCCGCCATCACGTAAGCCCTCCACAAGTAGCAAGCCATGGGTCGACTTACTTTGTTTACAACCTCACTCTACCCTCCGCAACTCAAAGACGGCTATTCTTCCCAAAAATCAAATACGCATGTCCTGTTCACTCAGAGATGATAGCTAATTATGGGAAATAAAAAATAATCTATGCTGTGAGAAATGGAAGTAGTCACCCACTCATTTAAAAATGAAGACTAGTAAAGAAGAGAGAGTTAAAGTACCTGTGTTCGGTTACAACCGACGAGGTAGGCTAATTGCTGGCTTTTATCCAACGCTCGAGTCGGACTATCCATCGACCACTTGTTATCAAGGCTCCCAGATTGCAAAATACCATTTTTGAAGAGACTGAAATCAGATGCAAATTCAAAAGTGAGGTTCGATTCGGTAACCATTCAGAGAGACTCATTGCCAGTGAAAAACATCACAAGATCGAGGTCAGCGACACAAGTGATCACATTTTACAAGTGAGGAAGGCATCCGAACGGAATTACTTCGAAGAAATCGAATGCGCGACGTATTTCGAAAGTAGTGTGCAAAGTCGCCACTTCCGCCCAAATTCTTGAAAAAGGTCTAAGTGCCAAATATCTACTTTTTCGAATGTAAATATGGGAGACAGGTCAACACAAATGACTTCGCGAGCAGAGCTTTCACTCTAGGCCTTCTGAATTTGACGCGGACCTGCTACAGAAGATCGTGTAAACTAGCAAAGTTTCTGAATATGCACGGACCTGCCTTCACTCAGAAGG